CGATTTACTTTGTATTTCCTTATATATAAATTTAATAAAGTTACTGGCAGTACCACATCGTTAAAAAAAAAAAAAAAAAAAAATATAAATTATTTATTTGCAAGATATGATTTATCCCTTAAATAATATTTTTGGTAAATTTGATAGAAATAAAATTTTGATTTTTATTAAAAATTAAATAAAATATAAAAATAAAAATTTTTACAATAAATATTATGCTATTTTATAAAAATATCTGCAATTAATTAATAAATTTGCCATTTTATAAAGTTAAAGATCAGTAAAGTTTCTAACAAATTTATTAAAATTTTTAAAATGCTAAAGTAATATGTTTCTTTATATATAAATCTAAATCTACATTTTAAATCTTAAATTTAAGAAAAATTAAAATTAAAATGATACATATACTTTAAAATTTTTATAAATAATAAGAATAATAAAAAATCAAATTCTGGAATTTTTTAACAAAATTTTGATTTTATCATTTAATGTTATTAATTAAAATTTAATAAGGTTTTAATTTTAGCTAAAAAATTTCAAAAATCTGATTTCTAGTAATCATTTATATAGAATTTATATATAAATTGTGCACTTAAATTAAATGTTAAAAAAATATTAAATTTTACTTATTTTTAAATACAACTAGATTAGTTTAATGATATAACAACTCTATTGCTGCTAAGTGATCTTTTCTCTAAATATTATCTATTGTACAAAATTTGATTGTTATATTTTAGAATGAAATGAAAAAAAGAACAAAAAGTAATAATAATAAAATCAAAGATCTTATTGCAGCAGATTGATCTAATCTTTAAAATTAGAAAATTTAATAAAAAAAAAATAATGTAAATGAAAAAAAACAAAATTCAAATTTCAAAAAAAATAAATAAATTAAATTAAATAAAAACAACTTACCTATACTAACGATCTTAAGAACAAAAAAAATGAAATTCATTAAATATTATTTATCAAGGCTTTGAAAAGGGAATGTATGTCATATCTTCCTGATCTGACTGAAATGTCGGAAATCTTCTTCGGATTAGATCTTTGGTACGGGTATCATATAAATTGTGATTTTTTTTTTGGAATTTTTTTTTTATATAATTTAGGTTATTTGGTTTTTCGCCTTTGATAACTTGAAAGTTGATTGGCAGGTTTTCTATCTTTCCTTCTGACACTTGTGTTTCACAAGGAGGAGTAATTTGTTTTTTGTTTTTTTCAAGAAATTTTTCAACAAAAGTAAATGAAAATCGAAATTTTGGAGTAACTTTGTAATTAATGAAGAGAGAAAATTCTAATTTTGACGAGAATCCAAAATAGTCGTGCGTGGTTTTACCCACCCCTTTCAACATCCAACAACCATTTAATAATGATTAGCACCAAACAATAATGTACATTAACTTTAAAAGCTTATAACTCATTAATTTCAAATGCCGGAAACTTTCATTTTTAATCCTCATATATTTTATAATAAAAATTTTATTCGACTTAAAGATGAGGGGCGAAACCTATTTAATAACAGTCGAAACTTAGACGAAACTATATTAAAATCATAATAAGGGATACGACGAAAACCTTTCGATACGACGATAGCAGAAACTGTCGAACTATATTAAAGACATAGAAAAGGGTATGACGAAATTATTTTGAGGTTCCGGCAGGCATCTATAGTTCGACTATAACTAGTTTTACCATTTAGTTCAAAACCGACCAGTTAACCGTCGGTTTGAAATGAAGAGTAATTTAGTTTTCTATTTAAATGTAAATACGTCTTGCTTTTTTTTTTAGATCGCATAAAAGTTCAAACTATCAGAAAAAAGGCAAGGTAAAGAAATTTTTTTTTGAAAAGATTGATATACGTAATTCACGTGATGTACAGGTTAATTGTTACCAAAAGAAATCAATAAAATAAAGCAGTTGTTAATTCAAATAGAAATAATAATATTCCAATTACCCATAATATTCAAAAACATAAAAAAAAGAAAAAAAAAAAATATGAAAAACGATGCCTAAAGATGGTAATAATTAAATCAAACGCTATGATTGGATGGCAATTTAAGTAATACAGATTTCTTATTTCCAAACTAGGGATGGATCGGTCCTGCCTTAGACCGGTTAATAGGACCGGTCCTTGCAGTCCTCGGACTATAGGTCCTTTATTATTTATAACATATTATTTTAAATTTTATAAATACTAAATAAATTGTTTTATTTATAAAATATTACAAAATTAGCGTTGGTCCGGTCCATAAGTCAGTCCTAATATTTTACTGTAACGATAATGTCCGAAATGAAAATATCGGAAATGGAAAAATTACGAGATTAAGAAGGCGCAGGAATCGTTTCGTATGAATTATTTTATTATACTTTTTTATTTATTAATTTACACAATTAATTTATTAAATTGATCATTTTATATGTATATTTTTTCTGATATGTTCTAAACCAATCCTTGAACCAGTCTTATAAATCGGTCTGTTTCGAGAAGAAAACAAATCTTGGACCAGACCGAATGGTACAAGACCGGTCCAGTCCAAAGAAAGATGAAAGACCGGTCTTTTTGGACCGGACCGATCCAACCCTATTCCAAACTCAAATTTTCAAATTCAAGCAATATATCAAATCCGTCATTGCGAACTTTATAAACTTTAGTTAATATATATATTATATATATTTCACGTAATAAACACTCTTTCTAATCAGATAAAAAAAAAAAGAAACTTATGAATCAAACAAAATATGACAATTAAATAAATTAAAAGAAAACTTTATAAAAAATTACAATAGAAAAAATTTTAAAAAAATTTCAAGCTTTAAGAAAAGGCATTGATAAACCAAAAACCAATGAAAATTTAATTCCAATCTAAATTTATTTATAATTCTAAAACCCATAAACTACATAGTTGATTAAATATTACATAAAAATTTTATTATTAAATCTTTTTTAACTCTTAAAGTTTGTGTTAGAATATTGTTCACTCTTATGTGCCGTTTCCTGCCTTAAAGTTTGTATCTCTTCTTTAACCGCTTGAAGCATTTCGGACTTAAAATTTTCCAGGACATTTCATTAGAAGCTTGTTCACTTTTTTCTTTTACGTCTTGTTTCAAATTTTGCAAGATTTCTTGTCTAACCACTTGAAGTATTTCGTTTTTAAAATTCTCCAGATCAATATTCTGTCGATTATCAGTACTTGAAATCGCTTCTCTTCCATAATTATAAGTCTTTTTATTTGTTAAATTTTCATTTTTATTTTCAGGTATTTGCGAAATTTTTTCTTGTCCATGATTATGCATTTTTTGAGTTGTTGAGACTATTTCATGTCCTTGATCTCTAATATTACTTTCTTCATCTCCAGGTGTTGGTATCACTTTTATATCTTCTTTTTTCTTTTTATTCCATTTATATACAAAAAATCCTCCCAATAATGAAAACAGCAACCCACCTACAACTGCTCCAATTATAATTGGTATCTTAGACTGTTGTGCCTTTGATGATAATGGAAGTGATGATGGAGATATTCCAATCCATTTATATTAATAATTGTTACTAATATCAAGTAATAAAAGATCATTGTCACCATAGTAACCCTTTCCTATTAAATACAATATATAAATTTGTATATGTACTAAAATTTCAAATGGATTAATGTCGATAAAAAAAATTATATTCACCAAATGATATAGCCATATAATTTCCTATCAAATTTGCTTGATGGAAAACTCTGGAAATTGGAACACTTCCGGAAATTTTTGGAACGTACCGTTTAAAATTTATTAAATCTAAAACATAAAGGGGATCTTGCGGAACAAGTGGCCCAAGTTGATATCCTCCATAAATTATTATTCTTCGTCCATCCAATCCTTTTAAAATATAATAATACTTTATTAACTGAAATTAAAAAAAAAAATTCTTATGATAAAATTTTGATGATTATTTAATTATTTACCAAGTACGACAGAAAAGCCATATCTATCAGAAGGAATTGCTCCAAAAGTTGTCTAATTTGATTAAAAATATTGTTTGAGATTATTTTACTATTAAAGATGTAAATTATAAATTATAAGGATATCTTACCATTGTAGCCCAAGCATTATTAATTGTATCATATAAATAAACCTAGAATTATTAAGTAGGTATAAAAATAATCGTTTATATATATAGTTCATACGTTTTATAAATTTTTATAAATAATTCACCTCATTTAACGGTAAAGGACCGTTATTATATCCACCTAAATAAATAATGCGTTGATCCGGTAAAAGAGTTGCACCATAATCAAATCTTGAAGTCGGTGCATTAATTAAACTTGCTTTTTCCCAGTCCAAACTCATTGTATCAAAAATAGGCATATCATTAACAATTTTATCACTTGCCTTTCCGCTGAATAAATATATCTTTCCATAATTGAAAATGCCTGTTAATCTATTTGTGCCGATTATACCTTTTCCAGTAATTTTTGGAAAGAGCCATAATTTAATTTGTGTATCATATCCATAAACCAAATTCATTGATTGCTTATTATTGTAAGGAATTCCTCCAAATAAAATCAAAGTATTATTGTTTATACCGCCTTTAACAGATGTGGCACTATCATGAGATGGAATGGTATTATAACGAGCCATGTCAATCCATAATAATTCTTTTGGATTAAACGAAGATGTTACATCAAGATAAAAGAATTGTTTTCCAACAAGTTCATCACCATCATCATTTCGACCACCCAAGATGTATAACTTGTTATCAATAAATGTAGCTGTATGAAGATATCGTTGTGCTGGCTTAAACTTTTGGCAATTTACTTCAATTAATAATTGTATCAAAAGCAATAATATGATATTTATCGAAGTATTCTTCGGCAGCATGATTTTACTTTGTTTATGCGGTGAAAAAATTTTTTTTTTATTTATATAGATATATAGACATATATATGTATGTTGTTGCATCTTATTAACATGTGATCATTTTAATTTAGGTCGATTAAATTACCAATTTTAGGTGTTAACAAACAATTTAGTAGTTAAAAAACTAGGCGCTGCATTTCTTTATGGGTCACTACATGTCTGTATCACAAAGCTGACTTGTGTCATTCCATGGAACGTTAAAAGATTTTTAAATATGCTCCTGCGATCGTCAATTCAAGCTATTTATCTCTAAGTTGAATTAAATAAATAACTAGAGGTTGCGGTTTGCGGGGATTTCGTCCACCGTTTAGCATTAAGTAATTGATTGCGTAACCAATTCAATCAAACTTTAAATTTTATTTATGATAAAAATATAAGGAAAATTTTATTCGTCACCCCGTTACTTCACTTCACCCGTTTATATCACATGATAAAATACGTGATAATTACTGATAAATAATTGTACGTAAAATTATAACTAATAAAGCATATTCATTAATAATATATGCACTTTTATATATTGAATAAATAATGAATATCATTAAGTATATGCAGCCAGCTTGAATTACAGTAGTAATTTGAGCTATAAATATTTTTTAGCGTTAAGATCGTCATTTTATTATTGTACATGTGCATGTCTTATTTCTTACATGTTCTTGAATTATGTCCTATTTTTTTGCATTTACTACATACATATTCCTTTTTATTAGCATTTTCCTTGCCTAGATTGTTGTTATTTTATTTACTGAAATTTCTATGCTAGATTTTATTCTTTTATTAGCTGGGCGACCTTTTGCAATATGTTCTAATGGATCATTAATTTTATCCGTAACATATATTCTCTTATTAGTTTCAAAAAACATTCTTATCATCAATTTCCATACTTCTTACATCCTTATTTATTACATTATCAATCTCCTATTTGATTCTTGCTTCTCACGAATTCTTGTTCTCTTTTAATATATCTATTAAAAAAATCCTTCAATTCACCATCATCTTGTAATTCTCACATAATTAACATTTAAAGGTTGAGAAAGATTAACACGCCAAGAACACTCTGTATTTTTGATCTTTTATTTCTAATCATAATTCTACCATTATCCTTAATTTTACCTGAATATTCACAATTAATATATCTCGATCTAACATTGCCATTACTATTCTTTTCAACTCTTTTTTTTCTAACAGCAAATCTATTAAAGCGTTCAAATTTAATACAATAATGAATAGCTATTTGAAATTTGAAAAATTCATTCCTTTAGTTAAATTAGGACATGACTGAAGGTATGGAATAGCTTTACCATATTGAATCAAATTAGCACCTTCAATATAAAGTTGTAATGTATACAAAATCCAAATTTATATTCTTGTAAAACTTTAAAATAAAAGCAATTACTGAAAGCTTAAAGATACTTATATAAATGAGTTTCTTGATTATAGAGTTGTGTATCATCTACTTAAAAATTTAATGATGATAAAGAGATGAAGGACAATTTAATATGTTATTATTAAAAGAATGTATTTGTAATAAAAGTTCAATCATATTAGCATCAAAACTTTCAAAAGAGGATTCTATTAGTCATAATTTAGAAGAAAAATTAATATAAATATAAAAGAAAAAAAAAGGTTTTTGCGAGAGAAAGGTGAATAAAAAGTTAACATAAGAAAATAAAAGTTTTACGTAATAATTTAATGATTTAAATATTATGACATTAAATAATTATTAGTATTAATGAGACTACATTACCCATGATAGATTTCACATGTAATATATATATTTTCCAAAATATAAAACCAAATCTTTGAAAACATCAAATAAATTAATTTTTCTAATTTAATTTTCTTTTCAGTTAATTTTTTTAATTATTTTTATTAATTTTTATTTAAATTTTAATAATTGAATTTTTTTGATTTTTAAATTTAATTTTTTTTAGTTATGCATTTTATTTTATTTTATTTGTTTTTTTTTTAATATCTGCAATTTTATTAATATATTTTTTAAATAGTGAATTAAAAAATAAATATAAAAATATATATTAAAATATAATTTAAATTTTAATTTTTTATTTAATAATTTTTTTAAATTTGTTTTTTAATCTTATTTAATATTCATGATTTTTTTTTATTACTAATATTTAATTTTTATCATATTTTATTTAATTTTTTTAATAATTTATTTATTTCTTATATTTTAAATTAATTTAATGATTTTTGTATTTTTAATTTAATTTAGTTTTTTTTAATAAGCATTATAAAAAGTTAGTTAATAATACTAATAGTATTTTATATAATTTTTTATTTTATTAAATTTTAAATAAAATGATTAAAAATCACTAAATAATATAAATAGTGAATTCATATATCATTATTATAAAAACTTCACAAATATCAAATCATTCTTGATGAAAATTGAGATTTGAATAATTTTAAACTTGATGAATAATTTATTTAAGATATCTTTATATATTTCATTTGACTTAAGCTTTTATATTTCATCTGAAACAATTTGTATAAAAAGTAAAAGAATTTTTTTGCAAAAAATATCACTCAAAAATTTTTTTTGTAATCTGAAATATATAAATTTGTTAATAATTAAGCGGGTATATTATATTTGATTTAATTTGTATTTTTTTTTAAAAAATAATTAAAAGAAAAATTTTTTTTAAAAATAGACAAAATCAATTACAGTATTTACAAATATGCAAAATAAGAAATATAAATGAATTATTTTTTAAAAAAATTGTGATAAACAAAATTTTGTAATACAAAAAAGATAAATAAATAAATGTGATACAAATAATTTATGCATAGATATTTTTGCAATACATATAATATATATGAAAAATAAAGAATAAGTATTTTTTAAAATAAAATGAATTGACTAAAATTAGTAAAATTAATAAAAATATATTTTATTTAAAATATGATGATTAAATTTAATATAATACAAAAATGACATAAGAAAGCTTAAATCACAAATTTATTCTAATAATAATATGGCAACATATACTATAGATATAGCTGCAATTGTAGCTATAGCTTATAATATAGCTATATAAATTTCAAATTTAATATTTACAAGATGTAATGATAAAATCAATCAAAATATATAAAGATTATTAAAGATTTATATAACTAAAAAACAAATTAAATAAAAAAAGTGAATTAGAAATGATCAACAAAAATTCATATTATCAAAAGTATATCTTTAGCAATAAATAAATTTAAAAGATTAACATATATAATCTTAAACTCAACTTTCTAATCTTTAAGCTTAACAAACTTTTTTCTAAGTTCAAGAATTTTGATATTTTCAGTAATAAATATACTAATCTTAGTAAAAGTTCAAACTTTTCTTCTTTATTAATTTATCTCTATTTGATAATAATTTTTATTTTATGCACTATAAAATAAGTATTCAGTATAATATAACAGAAATATTACTCTGATCATTTTTATACATAAAAATAAACATATCTTTTATTTTATTCTAAAACAGAATAAATATAATTATATTAATTTTATCATTAACTAATGGCTAATTTATCTAATATCTAAAATCTCTGCTTTTATAAAAAATTTATATACAAAAATATATAAAATTAATATATTTTAATATTTATAAATAAAGTATAATATATATATAATTATTATATATACAAAATAAAAACAAAATTAAAATATATAAAAGTATATAAATTAAGTATATTGTATATGTAATTCATATATACAAATTTATATATATTAAAATATATTTTATCAGTATATTTTATACATAATTTATATATTATTAATATATATTTTTTTCAGATTGTAACTATTAAACTCAGTATTAAAGAGTTGACTCTTTTAAGTTTATATAGTAAAATTTATAGTTTACAAGTTAAACAAGGTTCTTTTATATACTGAAAAATATATTTAAATCTACAATAAATATATGATTTATCTGCTATATATTGCTAAATATATTCAATATATTTTTAAGTATATTTTCATATATTAAGTCAAATATTAATTACATTACTAATATAAGATGTTACAAAGAAGTCTCAAGTAAAAAGTGTTTTTTAATAAATAATAAACTAAAAGATAAAAATACTAAAATAAGAAATTACAAAAAGGAGAATTAATTATAAATAGAAAGAGTAGCCTTACACTATTTTTACAAAAAGAAAGTTGACTAAACTGATTAGATTATATTTAGCAATTAATAGTTATCTTTTTTCTAATGAATTTAGTTTATCCTCAATTCAGTATCAATTTAGCAACAATTTAGACATCAATCGATGCTAATCGATTCCAATTAAACAAGCAATTCAGCATCAATAATCAGTACATTTTATTTATTAAATTTATTAAATATTAAAATTTTATTAATAATAAAAACCTAATATAAATTTGCAAAAATATAACAAAATATCACTAAAATCTACTGATTAATTTCCTATTAAAAATAAAATAATAAAATAATAAAATATGATCTATTTCCTCCTAAAATCCTCTTAAATCATCCTAAATATAGATAAATAAATCATATATAATAAAAATATGATCCATTCCTTTTGAAATCATCCAAAAAACGTAAAATAATAAATATAAAATGTAAAAAATAAAAAAATCAACCCAAAATCATCTAAATAAAAATAATTAATAAAATTAATCCATTTTCACCCCAAATCTTCCAAAAAAATATAAAAAATAATTAAAGATAATTATTAAAATCAACCTAAATCACTCAAATCGCCTGAAAAAAGTAAAGATAATTATTAAATCAACCTATTCCTACCCTAAATCACCTAAAAAAATATAAAGAAAATAATTAATAAAATTGACCTAAATCACCCAAAAAAACGTAAAGATAATAATATAAAATCGACCTATTTCTATCACAAATCACTTGAAAAAAATGTAAAGAAAATAATAAAATAATAATAAAATTGATCTGTTTCCATTCCAAATCA